GGCCCACCAGGCACTGAAGGGCTGCCGTGCAAAACAAAGCCCGTGACACAAACGTTACGGAAGGGATCTGCAAAACAACACCCTCTTCTGAGAGATTACCTTCTCACGTGCACACAACGAAAGTAAACAGAATTAGTTATCGGCATAAACAACATAAGCCAAAATCAGGCCTCGTGTAAGACCGCACGAGTCTACAGATCAGGTCCTAGAAGATGTAGTTTTCAGGACACCTGTGTGCTGCTACTCGGTCGGGGGAGGAGGAGGAGTAGGGGGAAGACTGCCTTATTAACCGGCTAGAAGCACAAAGCCAGAGCTTATCAGAGTATGTAAGAAAAAACACACAGCATTACTTTGATAGGCTGCACCCACAACAGCAAGAGAGCCAAGAGTGAGCACAGTCAGCCGAAACCCCTCTTTTGAACTTGCAGGTAAAGTCACCCACTATGTCACAGCAACCCAGCGAGGCCAGCCAACTCCCGGCAAACCTCAGAAGTGAAAAAACCAAAAAACAAAAAACAAACAAAACCTCTCAATGAGCAAATTAAAGTGTTATTCTCTGTTATTCTCCAAGCTTGGTTCTTGTGCTTAACCTCACGTGTAAAGGATCTGGTCTTCACTGCAACAGCCTGTTATTTCACCCAACCAAAACGAAGACACCGCACTCAAAACCAACTTCTACCTCCCAGAGCAGCTTGCTCAGAGAAACAGAGTTAATGCAGGAGCAGCTGGCGGGAAGCTGTCCTCTGACGCGTGACAACCCCACCACGTCAGCACAGCAGGCAAGACAACTCCAGCAGGCCACTCAGAGCAAGTCCAAGTTCCATCCCACGGACTTTTCAGGCCTACATGTGCATGGGAACATCTGGGACTCCGAACAGAAACGTTCGGTCGCAGACGAGAGCAGACGGGAGGCGATGACGAGCCTTTTGCTTTGGCAGGATCTGGATTTCAGTCACTGGTCCTGTCAGAGGCTCCTCTTCTAGAATTCTTCTTGGACAGGTATGAAATCTTGGTAGGTAGGACTCCAGCTTACGCACCTATCTGGCCAGTAACCCAGCCTGCAGATTCCTGACTGCAAGCAGCTTTTTCCTCCCGTTCCTGCCAACAGCCCGTGTTCCAGAGCTGCACTCTCCTTGCGGTAACGTTCTGCTGCCCCGTTTGTCAACAGGTCAACGAGCTGACTTAGAAGGCAAGAGGCCCCCACCTGAGCACCTCTAGCACAAATCCAAAACCAAGCCACTCTGATGTGCAATGCTATTAGAACAAAATAATCAAGTAAATATTAGAAACATCTTCAGTATCTGGTTAGAAAAAATACGTTGAACTGTGAAGGACCATGGAGCTTCTGCCAACACTTAAAACCTCAAACACCCTAGTCCTTCCAGACCCAAGGAAACACGGATCATTCAGTGACCTGCAGTACTCTCTCCAGTCATTACCAACCCCCTTGAAGTCCCACGTCTTTTGCCCTCCAAAACTTCTTTTCAATCACTGTTGCCAGTCTTGGTTGATATCACTGATTTTTCAATCTGCTTTTATTGTTTACTTTATGTCAAAAATCAACAGCAACCCTTTTTGTCTACAATTACACGGATAAGAAGCACAAACCACAGCTCCTTCGAGCCACTAACATCCTTTTAAACACACGGCAGAAAAAAGAAGCCGATCTCTGCACGTGCACCATGGCAGAGACCTTTTTCACCCTGAGAAATACCTGCCAAAACAGAAGCCCTTTTGTCAAGCTTTGGAACTACCATCAGCAACTCAGCCTGGAAATACAACCTTTGTTGCAGCCTGATGACTCCAGCCACAAACTGATTTATGGGAATGCGGCCAACGCGAGTAAATGGAGCTGTCTGCACGGAACCACCAGCAGCAAAGCTGTAACTGCCTCTTGTCTGAACCGCCGGCAGTTTACAGACACGATGCTTACAGCAGAGCCCGTCCTCCTTGCTCTCCCTTTCACATTTATACAACCTCCACCGGCTCTGACAGAGTAACCAGTTTAAACAACAAACGTTTACTGTCCCATACTGTATTTTAAAAAAAAAAAAAAAGTAAAGAGAAAAATGCTGACATTTACAGCTTTTTTTTGCTGTCCATTGTTTTTCACTAGATATGAAGCCCGAAAGTTTCCTTCTCCTCTGACGTCTCAATAAAAGGTTTCCTTCTCCCCGCCCCACCCTCCGCTGGGACCGCTCCACGGAACAGGGGGACCGCTGAGGGGGCACCCCAGGAACCCGCGGGGGACCCGCCCGCAGGGAGAGGCGAGACGCCCGCAGAGGCC